GTTAATACTCCACAGTGAAGACTTCCACCTGCAGCAAAGACGTACAAAGAAGAGCGGAGAGAGAGAGAGAGAGCGTGAAGAGTGAGCAGTCAAATTAGCTCCGGATTTATGTTACAAAATAATACATGGGATATACATCGCTCTGAGATCACGCATCGGTGCATTTTCATGTAATAGCATAATGCCTCAGATGACTTCCTTAATCTGTTCTCACTCTCTAAAGGTCTTTCTCTGTCTCCCCCTCAGCCTTCATTCACATCCATCACTATGAATGGCCAGTGGCCTGAAACAAGCCTGCCCTCATATAATGGATGGTTCCGATTAGCTGCCTCTGTGTATATGCTCAACAGAGGCATGGGGAGCTGAGGCGATGAGAGGCCGGTGATTTGTAAGGTCTCGTGTGGTGGTACAGTGTGGACGGATATTAGAAGGCCGTTTGGAGTCCCAGGAGAGGCGTGTTTCCTGCTGACAGTATCACATCTGTAGGCAAATGTGCGCATGTCGTTACCTCTCTCCTCATCTTCAATGCCATGGCACAAATAACATCCCCCCCCCGGATTTAAAAATGAGCTTTAGGTTGCACCGCCCATCGATTCGGCGACCCTCCTCTCTCCCTCTCTCCCTCGTGCTCGGCGAGGACCTCCTCCAAGGCTCTCCTGTTCTTATTCTGCTGCCTGCTTCCCCGTTACATAAACCTGCTCTATGTTATTTTCTTTTGGCGAAAATGCAATTTCATTTTCTGTTCAATTCAGATAGCACCAAGAGAGTCTGTTTGAGTATTAGAGGAAGAAAAACAAAACATGATGGGGAGTTTTTCTCTCAAAAGTGGCGAAAGCTGCGAAAGGAGAAATTCTTTATCTGAAAATGGGTCAGTAAACAACGAGGAAATGCATGAATATTTCTCTTTTTTTTTTTTTTGGTAAATAGCGCATGTGCTGACGTATGGCCAGCTGAATATCTGCATAACTCATCTTGCGGTGCAGACTCTCCAAGGAGGCGCAATACCAGATGCATTATGGGATGGGAGGAAAGTGCATTTGAAGCTGCTGCTGCTGCAGGAAAATCGTTGCTAATTAAGAAAACTCTCGTCTGGTTTCTGCTGTGCTCTCATATGCATATGCCCTCCAAATTCTTTATATCCTCTTATGTAATACAGCTCTGATTCCCTGAGAGGAGGCCTTAGAGGGATTTTCTAAGCACCTCTTGAAAGCAACACGTTAATGATAACTACACGGCATTATTTGTTTTTCATGTCACCTCGGAGGGATTTCAAGGGAGGTATTTCTGTTTGTTCCCTGAGCTGCAACTGTAGTTTAATCCACGCTTTGTTGTGTGCATTATGTGTGTGAGGGGGCGTGCGTGTGAAAGTGTGTCTGTGTGTGTGTGATGACTCGGCACTTTCATGACAATTACAAAGATCAATAAACTTGTTAGAGCAGCTGTCTTGTCATCTCCAGTCCTGAGGGGGAAGTTCTCATCAAAAAGCGATCACACAGACTTGACGCAGAGGGCAGAGGGCTCAGAGAAGGGTCTTCGTCTCTCCTCGGGGCTGAAATAGGGTGAAGACACAGGCTTGAAGAGGAGTTATTTATTGGATACACACATGCAGCTCCCCCCCCCCACCCCTGCATCCTGCTGAATCAGCTCTCTAGTGCCGCTACAGAGCATAAATCAGCAAACACGGGCTCTATTCCTTAAACATCCATCCATTCCAGTGCCCGGCTCTCTAAGGAGTTCAGTACGTGTCTGTCCTCAATTGCAAACAAATGCTTCAACCCAGAATCAGGTTTTTTCAAGCAGATGTCTTTTTGTAGCCAAATGGCGACCACATGGCACATCTGGGGGGGGGGTCTCCGTGGTCCTCCGATGTAACTTTCCCTCAAAAAACATCCAGTCTGTGCTTGCCGCTGCGTGACGAGCTAAATGGAGAGGAACAGAGTTTTGGGAAGAGGAGCACAAATACACCCAGATGTTCCAAAAGTGGAGTGAAATGTGCCAATCCTGGCTCTGGTTTGTCCACCTTGTTAAACCAATGGGCATCACACCTACTCTCCAAGTGCTCATCCACTTCACATCCTGGATGGCCTCTTTTCCAGATGATCACAGGCCAGAAGGGATAGCCTGTGGTGGCATTGTTGCACGCTTTAATCCGATTGGCTGCACCTGGTGTCTCCCTGTAAACAAAGAGTCATAGGATGTTGGCTTAGCATCATGGCTTAGTTTAAAGGCCATCCAGGCTCAGGTCTGACACCCCTGAGAACAGAGCCTAACCCTGATCCCCTGTAAGGACTCATTTTCGACATTTTCTAGCCGGGAAAATCACACGCAAGGGAGCGAAAAGGTGCAGAACTTGGGTGTAGACTTGAAAATCCCCAAAAGCAGCAAGAAGACGACCAGAAAACAAAAGAGGCACAAGACCTGTAAACTTAGAGAACCCAGATGACCAAGTTTTCCATCTCGAACAGGAAGAAACCAAAAAATGTTTATTTCTCTGAATTAAGGTTAAGTTTGATTTTGATATCCGTCATTTTTAGGGTCAACGTTGACTAGAGGTTCTTGGGTTGTAAAAGCAGTCTATTTCTGCTCGCCATATCTATGAAAATGTTAACCATTACATCCACCAGGGGGCAGGCCGGAGTCAAAAGTTTCTGACAACAACAAACAAAAAGAAACATGGCGCCTGTGGAGGAGCTAGTGAGAATGTCTTCTTCGTTTCTCTCTAGAGATGCGCATCGGGTAGCAGGGCTCGACAGTACAACCGTTTCACTTGCATTTCCGACTAAAAATAGATTTGTGTGAATTGTAAAATATTTTTAATAAAAAATAAGCTGAGGCAACAAACGTTTTTTCATGTAAATACCGTGGTGAAGTTAGTTTCACTGGACATTCACTGAGGATCTACCGGTGTCTTCTCGCTCTCCATAACCGGGAATAGCAACAGCAGCGCGGTCAAATCTACTTGGCATCCTCTCTGTCAGCGTCGGGTGTTAAATAAGGGACCGTCAATAAATTAGCGGTTGTTGTCAAATAAAAAAGGCTGTTTTCCCTCAATAGCCTTCATGTCATGTGACCAATTGACCTAAAATTGATTTCAAATAATAGTGCTAAGGTCGGACAATAAGACACACCTCTTTATTTCCCTAATTTGTCCTCTAAACATTTTTTGTGTTAAATTTAAAGGGAAATTTTGAACATTTTCTTCAATAGCTTTCATGTCATGTGACCAATTGACCTAATATTGATTTCAAATAATAGTACTGATGTCGACCAATAAGGCAAACATTTGTTGATAAATTTTCATTTTACCCCTAAAGTTCTTTTTGTGCTCCTTAGTTTTTCAACTTAGGAGCACATGTACTCCTTTTTAAAAGAGTTAGTGTCAAGCCCTTGGTGGTGACAGCAGCGATACTGCACCCACAGTTTCTGATGGTACTGCTCCGTCTGGCCTGTATCCGTAAACTTCAAGGATATGTGCAAAAATACGGACGAAAAGAACATGAAGCATGGACAGAGAGTTCCTCCGGGATCCAGGTCCGTATGTAACGTTGAGCATAAGTGAGCCTAAAGACGTCGTCAGAAGCCCCAACCTTTCTTGATTCTGATTAGTTTGAGGTTGGCGAGCGTAGCCATGCTCCAGCGTGCAGTATCTAAGGAAACTAAGTGCAGTAACCCTTATCTGCATTCAGTCTGAATAGAAAAGAGGCACTGTCGATGCAAAAACAGCCTCTCAGTTGCAGTAATGTATGATACCAACCTTTCAGTCAAATGGCTGACTGTGCTGTGCATAGTGTTTCCAACTTGTTTGATCCAAACTACTTTAGAAACTGCACAGCATTTCGAGTCTAACTTGATTTCATCACCTTCTAAATTTATAACATGCTTTTGCCGAACAGAAAGTCCTGCTTTAAACAATGTGCTGCTTGTCTGTTCTCCTCGCAGGAGGCACAAATCTGTATGAAAAGGCAGTCTTTATATCTTTACTGTACACATCCAGTCTGATACAGACAAAGATTTATGTGTACTGCTTTGTGCGTCTTCCCCCTCCTTCTGGTCGGTGTTATCCACAGACAGAATAAAACATGGATGTGGTCACAGTGAAGTCGCCCTCAGGTTTTCAAAGAGAGGAAATGTTGGCTCGACTAAACAGACAGATAAACAGGTGGAAAAAAGAGTGAGGCTGCACACACCTGTGACCCTCGCAATGCAAAGTTAAATCACGGCAGACAATAAAAAGTTCCTTTATTACAAACAGGGCACCTATGAATGTGCCCTTCGTCGTCGCTCACATCAAGAGCTTTTAATTTTGACTCTTTTCATCAAGGTGACTCCGTCGTATATGCGCCTCAATCTGGTCCCTCCTCCTCCTCCGTCATAAATTTTCCAAACCTGCTCCTATACCGTCAAGGCCGAACCTGTAACACTGACTAACTCTATGAGGAAAAAGTGCCACACTCAGGGAGCCTTTTCATTTTCTCATCTCCTCCAGAAACAGTTTGTGGTAAGATAAGGTCCCCGGGGAGGACTTGTATAAAAACCTACTTCCTACTCCTCTTGTTTTATGCTCTCCATTATTCGAGCAGGGCTGATAAAGTATCGACTGCTCTGCTTGTAAACCATTATGACCTTTAGCTGTTTTTGCAGGAGGCTACCACGGCGAGACACAACAAAGGTAACGGCCGTTTACCTGAGTGTTTACTACAGGTGGATGCTACTCGGGATGGTATAACCTTATGACCACTGACAGGTGGAGTGAAAACCATTGATTAAGGTGGTAAAATCACACCTGTCAGTGGATTGGATATGCTGGGCAGCGACTGATTTTTATCCTTGAAGTTGATGTGTTGGAAGCAGGAAAATGGGCGAGTGTAAAAATGTGAGTGACTTTGACAAGGGCCAAATAGTGGTGGCTGGACAAATGGGTCAGAGCATCGACAAAAGTGCAGCAGCAGCCAGTAAAAGTGCTCAGAGGGAGAAAAAAACTCCGATCTGGACTCAGGATCATGAGTGACCGAGGCTCAGTGATGTGCATCGAGAGTGAAGGCTGGCCTGTTTGGTCTGATCCCACCAGAGGGGCCACTGGAGGTCAAATTGCTGAAAAGTTAATGCTGGATGTGATAGTAAGGTGTCAAATCACATAGAGCATCAGGGTTTGTTGAGTATGAGGCTGCAGCTGTCTTCATAGACAGCCAGAGGACCATTGTAAAAGTACCAAACAGCCCATGTTACCATGAATACGCTTACATGTGGTCAATGCACTTCAATTATAAGTCTGAAAATGAAATATTGTCACAGTGGCCACATTGAAAAAATGTCCACAGTCACCAAAATTGATTTTCTTGGTAAATTCCTCTAAACTAACACTTTTTAAAAAAATGTGTAATACACTTTCATTAGAAAATCAGGGACAGCACAGCAGTAATGTATTGCTGGGAGAGCCTTGGCTGAATTGTCAGGAATAAAGGTCAGGTATCAGGATATTACACAAGTAAGAATATTAAGAGTGAAATATTGCTTTAAAGATTTACACACTTGGTTCAACCTTGACACTCCTTTTTGCTCGGCTGATTGAACTGAAGAGAGAAAATGGAGACTGGAATATAATGACTTAATGGACCAAAACTATAAAAGGGTTAAAAAAACACTAACACGAACGAGGCTAAAAGTACTCGGCAATTTGTCTCAAGACTAAGACTAAATCTTAATTAGTTGCTGAAATGCACAGTGTGTTAAACAGCACTAATTACGAAATAGCAACTTCCAGTCTTGACAAATGAAGCAGATGCCAAAGTGCTGAAATTGTAGTTCCCAGAGTGCCCACTTGAGGCTAATATGGAAGCAGTGGAAACCTAGCGCACACTTCGCCAGAAAAACAAAAAAACTAAACAAAACGGATTTTAGAGCAAAATAAATACGTTTACAGCAGGAGTGTACCGATATGATATTGATCCTACATCAGCAAAAAAAAAAACGCATATCAGATTATATCGGCCTGCATCTAAAATCTCTGATATCAGCGCTCCCATCAAGCAAGCTGAGCCCGCTAAATAACAACAACAACAGTGTGTACTGAAGTACTAACAAAGCAGCAAGGAGTAGGAGTGATGTCGGCCTTGTGGCAGAATTTTTCATTTAAGTCTGAAAAAGACATTACAGCTGAGTGAAAAACTTGTCATACAAAAGCTGAGTGCAAAACGTATCGCCAATATCGGTTTAGAATCGGTGTCGGTCAATATTGAAGGTTACAATATGGAAATCGTATCAGAAGTCAAAAAGTTGTATCAGGACACCCCTAGTTTACAGCCTGGTTCTAAAATCAGTTTCAGTCTGAATAACTCAGGGCTCTGAATTTTTTTGTTTTGATCGGCCAATCAGAGGCACAGCTGACTTGATTGACAGGAAGGCACACCACAGCTGTTTTCAAAGAGGCTAAAGGCCTGTTAACCAAAGCTTAGGTTGAGTCAGCTTTACTATATGGTGACAAGCTTCCAAAACGAATGGCTGAAATCACCCAGACTCCATCCATTTACTATACCTGCCATACTTAATGGGCAGGTGAACACTTAAAAGATGAGTAGCGGTCATGCCGTGTCACATCAGAGCTGTTTGGTCCAGGACCTTATCAGAGGACGGTCGACACCGATGGTAACACTAAATATGTTGATGTATGATGTTTGAATATTCAGCTGTGGTTTCCTCACAAACTTTTCCTTTTCTGTAAAACCTCAGCCAGCTTGTAAAGCAGGAAATGAAACCCGAAGCATCCAGCCACCACTTTCTATTTTTTTTTAATGTAATTCATCAGAACAGTATTATGACTCCAAGCCTCTTTATGGTGACGCATTCAGGGTGCTTGGGGTATTTTTATAGCAAACCTCATTCCTCAAATGTGATATCTCTTTCTTCTCCCCCTCCTGAGCCACCCTTAAAACATAAATCCACTCCAGACTAGCGTGCTCCGCAGTCCGCAACGACTCCGCCGTCTCGCAGATTAAGGCAGAGTGATCCAAACAACTTGGCAACACTCTCCCTGACACCGTGCTGATTTGCAAACTGATTACCATGTAAGAAGAAAAAAAAAGCGGTCGGATCTGAAGAGGTGTCTGTGTTTTTTTCTTCCTCATGGAAAAAAACAAATAAAGTGGGGGAGGGGAAAAAAAAAGACCCACTGGGGAAGAAAGAGGGCTTCAATATAGCTCTGATTGTGATGGTGCATCCCACAAGATGGGAAGAAAATGGGGAGTGACAGAAGAAGATGGGGTAAGCTGCTTTTAGACAGGCGAAAGAAAGTGTGAGGGGGAGGAAAGGGAGGATGGGAGAGCTTTAAGTCCCCCGTCTCTCCAAAAAAAAAGAGGGTACGAGATTTTTGTGTGAAGCCGCCATAAACAAGAAGTAGAGGTACACAGGAGTGAGACAGGGTCAAAGAAATAAAAGCATCCAAAACAAAGGGGGCACCACTGCCAAAGATAAATGTCATGAAAAACACTGTAATCCCATGTTGCTGTTGGAGGTCTAACGTCTGTAAGTGTGCGTGTGCGTGTGTGTGTGTGTGTTTGTGTGCTCAGCCATAAGCCTGCAGCCGGACTCTCGATATGGGGCCGGGCCACAGTCCAGAGCGCTCAGGTAATTTGACGGATCGTGCCGCTCAGGCAGGTGATGCTCGCAGCTCTCCCTTGCTAGGGATTGTTTCCCTGAGCTTGTTTGGCCGGGGTTGGCAAGCCGACGTAAGATGAATAGCGTCTCCTTCTCCGGGCCTGTCTGTCTCTGATCCGTCCTCGCTGCTCCAAGGTCAGCCAGCCAAAGAGTTGTGGAGAATGGAAATGTAAGGCTGGGGGAAGCTGGAGAGAGAGAGAGAGAGCGAGAGAGAGAGAGAAAGGGGGAGAGAGAGAGAGAGGTGAGTAGGGCAGAGGTGGGATGAAGGTGTGTGTGTGTGAGAGAGAGAGAGAAAGAGAGAGAGGACGGATGTCAAGGAGTCTACAAGCAAGGTACATGACTTGGGTCTGAGCAGGTCTGTCTGTGCCCTCTGTGCGTCCTGTGTGTTTATAATGTGTGTGTTTGAGTGTGGGGAGGAGCTAGATGTGAGAAATACATCAAACGTCACCAACACATGGCTAAAGTGGAGATATAGAAGAGACATAGAAACACTTGTGAGTCACTTTGGACGTGATAGCTACCACGTGTAAATCACATCGTGAAGTCAAAAGCAAAACTGGTGATTTGAAGGGATGAGATTTTAATGATTTGACTTAAATCCATATATGAGTAAAGTGTCTGAATGACATTTTAACCCAGTTTCTAAGTAACGTTTAATTAAATTCCCACTCAGCAGGCATCGAGGTGAAGAAAAATGTTCAGAAGAAGGTTGAAAAGGTCTCAAGTCTGGCTAAATACCTGTGAGCGCCTGCTGCTGAGTAGACTTTACCTCCTCTTCCTCTTCCTCCTCCTCCACACCAAAGAGCTTTGGTGATCACACCCAAACTTTTAAGCAGGTCCTGAAACTAGAATTCTAACAAAGTTATACACAGCCTCGAGCAAGCAGAGTGCATCTCACTCACCATCCATGGGTGGACTTCAAAAGCAGCTCATAGATGCTACTTTTATCCGAACCCAAACCCTCGCTTGCTTGTTTTTCAAAATAAAAGCCTGGTATAGGGCTGGGCGATACAGCCTCAAATCAATATCACGATATATTGAGCAGTTCATCTCGATAACGATAAATGGACGATAACTACTCCACAAGCTGCTCACCCCCGCCCACATTAACTTCGTCTACTTCAGCTACTCTTGAACCGTCCTCCATCTCCTCACCTGTCTTGGGGTGGAGTCATGTCTCTGACATAGGACAGTGTCTTAAAGGGACATGAGACCATAGCCCACCTACACACATCCAAAACCAACTTTTTATTATTAATTTTTTGACACCTAACATACCGATATGGGCAAAATGGTGTCGTTATCGTCGTAAATTTCGGTGTCGGTAAATTTTCAGTTCATCGCCCAGCCCTAGCCTGGTATGTTCGAGACTCCTGGTTTTCACCTCATGCTTTTATTCTGTAGAGTAATTTAGTCTCTGCTGAATTTTCTTAAGAGAAAAGTCAAAAGTCATGAAGGTCGTAGATTTGCTTTGTTCATAATGATAGTTTCTGCTCATGGGGGGCATTTTTATGTCGTGTGATCCCCCTTTTTTGTCACTCCCTATGTTAGTCACCTGAATTAATTATAAGTCACAGTAGATCACACACCACTTCTTCCTTTCCTGTAAAGAATCAATCTTTATGATGTTGCTGAAGCCAGTAAATCTCGGTAAGAAATAGTTTATGACCTTGTTTGGGGTAAAATGCATAAATAAAGAGCGGGCTGACAGCAGAATCTCACTCAGCCAACAAGCGCCTGGTGGGAAAGCAATAATAGCGGGTGATGTAACACGGCCAACATGCAGCCAGTCTGAAAAACACCGTTGAAGGATAGAAATTAAAAGTACAAAGGTGTAGTGGTGGACTTGAGTTGTTTGCAGAGAGGACTCCAAACTCAAAGACACGGATCACACCATTCTGGGGTCACTAATGCCGTTTTGAAGCCTGGAAATCTGTCGCACTTTTTTTTTCAAAACCCGACCAAGGACATTATTTAGTCACTTCTTGAGAGGACTTTACTCTGCAAGACTCTCTATGTAAGTCACCTCGGAGAGTCAAGGTTTTAGGTTCTTTGTTTGGAAGCGAAGATCAACCTTGGCTCTGTTCGAGAGTTTGCAAATAGACAGATGCAGCATCTCCCCTCCATCAGACGCCGTTAACAGACCAGAATGCACCGCAGTGTTTAATTTTTGAGGCCATGTTGGATATGTGTTGTTGTCTTTGTTCCCCTCTGATACATGACATCCAATCTTTTTTACGGATTCTGTTTCGCTCGCTTTTGGCTGCCGCTGTGACTCTCTACACCCACATGTTTACACGTGTGTGTACTTGTGAAACGCATGTGTGTGCGTGTGTTTGTGTATCTAAGATCTGAGTGTTTGCATTGTGGGACATGCGAGCCTCGTGAGTGTACTGTATAAATGTCACTTGATCATCTCTTTGTGGATGCGGCTGAGTAAGTATGGCTCGGGAAAATCAATTTTGTGTCCCAAAAGAGGAACATAAGAGCACATAACGTTTTTATTTTATTTCAGAGTCTGTGAGCCGAGCTTTGAACTTCCAGCTCGGCCTGTAAATCAGACCAGCATTTTACTGCTGAAATAATCTAAAAAATAAAACCATGTGGACACAGATTTTCCACCATACATTTTATTTTCTCGTCATTCAGCCGTGTAGAAGGCACTTAAAGCGAAAGCTGCATTTCCACCAAAATGTATTTGCACTAAAAAAATAACAGAGACTGAGTCCCAGAAGCTTCTTTTCATGAAATGTTTCCTCTGGTCTATTGTTGTTTGTCATTCTGTGTGCGTATGTCGCTGCATTACCTCTCTTCAAGTTGACAGCAGATGTCAAGTTTACCCAGAGTAGATCGCTTTATGCTTTTTATGATACGACTTGTGCCGCATTCATGCTTTCTAATTTTCTAAAATGAAGGTTTTTAATCCACAAATCTTTTGGAGTCTAAGCCGTGTCTCCTCCAAAAGCTAACACAGGCACAGAAAAGTAATTTCTTAGCAACCCCTGCCATTTACCAGTCCTTTTGTTGAAAGCGTGTGCTCCAAATCTTGTGATTTCAGTTCTTGTTCTTTTATGTTATCTAAACATAGTTTGGGTGATGATGAGTCCCAAGCCTCCTAACTTTCAATTTTACCTCCATTGACACAGAAGAACATGAATAAGAAAGTATTTAATCTGTCTTTTCAAGCGAACACCTGCAATTTCAAAAGAGGCTCGATTTCTGCCTACAAGCAGCGTTTCTGCAGTTTTAATGCTAACGTCATGTCATTGGTCTGAGATTTGCGGCCTCAGGGCTGAATGAATTGACTCCTGTCGTCAGTTTGTTTCTTTGTTTTTTGATGCAAAGCGTGAAAAGATGGCATCATTCAACAATACTGTGACCCCACTGTAAAAAAAAAAAAAGAAGCCCATTTAGAGAAACTTTGTGCTGTTATTTACCTTTTGAGTTCAGTTGCTCCTGTAGATTTCACCAAATAAAAAAGAATAGACATAATTAATATAGTTGATTGATTGATTGATCACTTTTGAAGAACATTACACCAGTCGTTCAAGTGGCCGTATGAAGATCTTGTCAATAGTCAGAGTCTAGATTCGCGCGAATGAAGCGAGTAGATGATTTTACTCGCATTAGACGTGAGTGCCTCATCAGAGTTTATGCCTCTTTGGGTTCCTAGTCAGTTGAACTTGAATACTTCCTCACTGTTTTTTTAGAGGTTGTCATTCAGGTCCGTGAGTTATAGATTGCCAGAAGTTCCAAATAAAAGTATAGTTTTACAACGTTGGAAATAAAGCAACCTAAACCAGAAAAATATCAAAATAAAAACATGCTGGACGAGGTTTTTATGAGGAGCAGATATTTAATAACCCCGTTATTAATGCCTGAAACCACAAATTATGGCCAGAAAATTCAATTTTTTTGGAGCTAAAATGTTTATTTTACTGACTACTGAAAACCAGAAAAATCAAAATGTCCTTAAAATTTAACAAATATATTTATTTATCTTGTTTATCACACTTATCTTGTTTTTGGAAAATGATTGAACTGACTGACTGAACATTTATCTGACTGTATTTAGGTGTTTTTTAGTAATTTGTTGATCATATTGATTTGATAAACATATTATAAAAGTATGTATTGAATATGGTTGAAAAGGCAATAAAGGGCTACGGAAGTTTCAGTTACACGGCTGGTGATGTGAATAAATCACAAATCTGAACATCATTAAAAAAGGATGATGACATTTAAGTTAACTGTGATTAGTGACATTTATTGACCTTTTATTTTCAAGTTTTACATAAACATTGCGATATCTTTATAATGATGTTTTGCAGCCAAAATAACCCCGAGGTAAAAACCTGATATAGTGACAGGCCTAATAGGAGTTTCACAGCAGAGGGATTTGTCCTCTAGTTTAAGTGGAGGATGCGGCCTAAACCTGAAAATCACTGCAACAGATATTGAGATTTTCTTCTCCAATGACGCCCCCGCATTCCTCATCTTATTTCATTAGCCTTATTTCACCCCATCCCTTCACTCCGCTTAACCGACTTCATGTGCTCCCTCTCTCCACACCCTTCCACCCTCCCTCGCCATCCCCCGCGCCCTCCCTGTTCAATCTCTGCACTGTCAGTTTGTGGCTCCCGCTTCTCTTTCAGTCATTGATCACGGTGGCAATAGCGTGGTGTTTGCCGGCCTGGAAATGTGTGTCTCGGCGGGGAGGGGAAAGAGATCAAACACTTTAATTACCGCAGGCTTGTAGGAGGTGCCAGCTACAGGCAGCAGTCGTGTAACAAGGACAGGTAGAAGAGAGACGCCTGGGCGAACACGGGTGCATCAGACCAACGACAGAAAAAGGAAAAAAAAAAAGCCCTCTCTACTTCACGCTCACATCAAGCAACAACTTAAATACCTATCTAATCTCACCCTCATGCATCCTACTGACACGATGGGCCTAAATGGCGATTGCTGAGTAGAAAAAAATTAAACCGCTGCACATTTTCACCGGAGAGGAAATCAGTTATTCCCCAGTGCATACGCCGCTAACACATTAGCATACATAAACAGTTAAACCAAGCATGAGCGTACTGTATATGAGCTCATATTTATTCATAAGTTATTTCCACTTTTTATCAAACTAGCCGGCGTGATCGTGCGATCTTTCATCAAAAATGCAACAACCTTTACAACCTTTTAAACCCATTGTCATTCTGCTTTTATCACACGGCTGGTTCATTTGTAGGACCTGCACTGATCCTGCAGAGAACTGTATGGATAGGAGGAAAAGGCTGACACAGACCACAGCTGTGATTGATGTCCTGTCTCACTCCTCTCTCTGCTGATTCAGGGGCTCCGGGCGTTGTGGGAATCATCTCTCTACTCCGCTGGTTTTTATTCCTACCAGGTAGCTGCTCCATCCTGTCGCTCAGGACCCAGCCGCGACTGCATGTGTTGTCAACCGGTTGATCAGGCGTGTAAGATTCCCAGACTTGTCAAATTTTATGGTGGTTATGAACCTCAGAGTCAAAAGATGTTGAGAGAGTTGCTGAGTCAATAATTTATTATGTTTGTTTTGTCGAACAACCTCAAAACCGCGGTGAAATATTCTTTGCTTGATCCAGTGGTCCGAATCCGGCGTTATCCTGATTTAGTGAACATTTTCCGTAGCTCTGGGGTTCCTGAGCTGTGATTAATGACACACAAAATCTGCATGAAGAGGGGGCTGTAAATCACAGTGGTCTTAAAGAGTTGGGCAGCTGTTGTGCAGGTATAATGTGTCAACATTCATTTTCTTTTCTCTAGCTCGCAGATTTGAAAGTTATTTTCTCCGGCTTTAGCTGTGAGTAAATGTAATGGTAGATTTTAGTGCAACAAGACCTATTACACTTATTTTCACCCTTTATTGTGTCAGCCAAGAACCCCTATAGAGTACTTTTGCATGATTTCCAGCTCTGAGACACTATATTTATTTTGTACCCGCGTCTGTGAAAACCCTCTTTTCAGCACTATCCAGCCTGCAGCAACTTTTCTGCCAAACACTCTTTGTTTTGGCCGCTTTTCCAGCAATATAAAGTTAGACACAGCTTGTAGGTGTTATTTTTTCACACAACTTTGTGACTATAGCACAACCTAAAAGTTATGTCTTAACAGAAAGTGTGAGAAGCTAGTCATTTTAGCTATAAGTTAGGGTGACCATACAACCTCTTTTACCTGGACATGTCCTCTTTTTTTGGGGGCTGTCCAGCTTTGTCAGGGGGAGTTTATAAAATCCTTAAAATGTCTGCGGTTTTGTATGGAAGTTTCGAGTTTGTGTCATGTGGACTTACTGAGTTAGTAGCCTTAAAAAAGACACTCGATCTGACCCGAAAAACTCTCAAAATTAACTTTGTGCAACTTCGTGACTCCGCCCCCGCGTAGTCGTGTCCTCTTTTTGGGGATTCAGGATATGGAAACCCTTTATTAGCAGGTAGTTTTTACTACATGAGCAGCTGTGACAATGTTATAAATTGGGCTGGGTTAGGCACATAATGTTTGATCCCTTAATCACAGTTTAAAAAAAAAACTTTTAAAATAGATCAAAAACTTTCATTTCATGTAACATTATTTTCACTAGAGGCTGATTTGACTGACAGGCACACTGTAGCCCTCTCTTAAACGGCTAAGGTGTGCCCGTCAATCAAATCAGCTGATCTTAAAAACATAATCATTACATAACATCCACTTCCTGTTTAGTGAGTACCAGGCTGTGAAGGCGATAATTTTAACCTGCTTTATTGACTTTGTGTGTATCTGGTTTCTGGTGCTCCTGCAGCCACCCTCTAGTGGGCGCTCATGGAACTGCAGTTTTTAGCTTTACTGTATGCGTCATTTCTTAGAGGTTGCCACGTGGTGAAATCATATGAAGTTATCAGAGTTGTTAGCTGTGTAACTGTAGTAGAAATACTGTTTTACTCTGAAATATGGCTGAGATTCCTCCTAGATCATCCATGTACATCATAATTTAAAGTCCTACTCTGATCATTTTTGTTTTACAACTCAAAGTGTTATCAGTGGTCTCTAAATTGTGAGTTTTTCAGGCCAAGTTTTAAGTAAAAATCATGTTACCTGCGTTATTTTCAAGGACTTCTCTTCTGCAGAGCTTCAGTAGCTCATTAGCAATCCGCCTCTGAGTTGTGGGCGGAGACAGCGCTGCTCTGCACACTCCTTGCTGCCTAACATTGCCAGTGTAGTAGAAGTGGCAGGTTACATCAAAGCTATTCAGCTTTCGGACACTCTTGTCTTTATGGACATGATGAAAGTTAATATCTTAATTATCTTTCTTATGAGCATTGCAATCCACCAACACACACTTGTTCTGCGATCATCCTCTACTTCTGCGTGTGGCCTGCGGGGCTCAGGGGGCGGAGCTTGGATTTGTGATGTAGGAAATCTCACTGAATCTGAACCTGCCGTTTAAGTCTGTGAGAGTTTCACAGCGATTTGAATGCAGAAATACTCAGAAATGCAATTTCACATTTACTTTTCTCATTAGATGTCCTGTAGCATCAGAAAAAATGCCATATAATCATGTAGACAACAAGAAAAATGTGATTTTCATTGGAGTGGGTCTTTAAGTTTTTGATCAATCTGAAAGCAGTTAAGTTATCCCACATTTATAAATATATTAGCAATATTAGGATAGCATATAGGCTAGCCTAAGAAATTATCCTCCAAATAAAAGTGCAGTAAATCTGTAAATTTGATAGTATGAACACAAAATAAGAGATTTTCATGAGATCGAATGAAAGAGCAGATAAATCTTAAAAGTCAATTACTTTAACATTTCAACAAAGAGGACGAGATAAAGTTTAAGCATTCTCATTACGGCGGCCACACAAAGCCTTTTGCTGGTGGGACTCTGTTGTAATTGTTTAGGTGGCTTTGTTTGTGGGTTTCCGGCTTAATGAACAAATGATCTCTTTACTGAATTTGAGTTTTAGTTTGGGGGATGATGTGTTTTCATTTTTTTCCCTGTGAAAGCACGGAGGCGAGTGGCCAAATGTAATTCCGTCTCATTGTTTGTGCTGATAATTTGTATTTTCATCGGGGGTGCAGTCCCTCTAAGGCCGTGATGAAATAGAAGAGATAATAGGGAAGATATGGGAAAAAATCCGGGTTGAGGGAAGATTGTATCCACCTTTCTTCATAATTTCTTACCTTGCAAAGAGTTATTTTTTTATCCTGCCGTTTCTACCGCTCCTACTGAGGCTGCCAAAAACACATGGGCTTTATGGCTGTTTGGTCTCCACAGAAATGGATTTTGGTTTTCATTAAGAGGTGAGGTCTTTGATATGGCAGATCAATTTTTCAGGAGTGTTTTCCTTTGATAAACAAGGGCCTTTTCCTCAGCGGGTGAGCACAGGCACAGGCTTGGACCGAGCCCAGCGCGGGTTGGAACAGGAGCAGTCGGAGGAGGAATTATGGAGAACGTATAGAAGGAGAAAAAAAGAGATGGTGGGGGGGAGCCGAGGGAGAAGAAAGGGACAGATGAAGATAGAGACAGCAGCAATGAAGAGTGGAGAATAAATATTTATGTCCTGTAATGTTTCTGCATGACAGATTCTATATTATACTTGGATGTGGTGCTGCACGTCGACCATGAGAAATGTGTTGGTGATGAATTTCACACCGCACCAATAAAGCACACTGGTGGGTTTGGACAGAGAGGAAAAGGATACCTGTAAAAAAAAAAGAGGGAGAAAATGAAAATGAAGAAAAGATGGAGAGGCATGAAAGAAAGAGAAGAGAACAAAGGGGGGGGGGCTCAAACAAAGCATCGAACGACAGAAATTGACATCACAGGTTTGGTAAATGTGACGGTGTACATGAAGCAGATCGAGATAGTGTACACAAGGGACGATGGCGAAAGAATGAAAGAGATTTGTGGCTCTGCGAGTGAGGGGCATGAAATGAATCAAGCCAGGGGGGCCTGCTGGAGTGTGTCCTGGGGATGTGTGCGACTGGGTCAGGCAGAGGAGTGGGCTTTGGGATCAGGGATGGTTGCAGGCCGGGTCTATAGAGGCAGCCGAAGGCGAAGAGAAGAGACGGACAAGGGCCATTAACTCAGGGAGAGTAGCTAACCAGGATCAGTCAGGGAGGGGCGGCAGTTTGGATCTGCACTGAGGGGAAAGAGGAAGTTGTAATTTGTAACCCACAAAGTATAATTTCTTTAAAATGGATGGAGAGTGTTTTTTCTGACATTCATCTAACTCCATGCTTTATCATTGTTGCCATGGTTGCATCTGCTGTGCCTCCTTTCTCACTCAGCTTACGTCCTGATTGGCTATCGTTGTTACAATCTGCAGAGTGCCTGTTTGGCTGTCTCCAGGATTTCTGATGGTAAATATTCAACATTTCTAATGTTTAAGATTTCAGATATTAAAGCTGTTAGAAATACACTCATAGTCTTTTGAGGAAAATACCATTTAGTGTTTTAACCCTTAGAACTCTCAGCTATATTTTGCTATTTTTGGTCTGCCTGTTTTTTTTTTGTGTAAAAATGTATGTGGCAACTCGATCCTTTCAAGCACAGTGAATATATACACATATTTTTTTTCAGGACAACCTCAGCTGTCAGTTTATGGAGCAAAAATTATGTAAAATGAATATGACAGTAGATTCAGAACCATCAAAGTCAACCAAAAAACAAAATCGGAAATTAATACCAACAATACTTTGCTCAAAACACAAACATAAATCTACAGTGACCAAGCCTTTTCTCACCTGCACATCATTCTCTCAAGTCTTGGCTTTCAGGAGAAGAAATATTGGGATTGAAACAAACACACAACAGAAACTATTTACATATTTACACTCATTCTTCCAGGTGTTTTTTTACTATTAACAGTTGTTTATGCCACTCCTTGAAGCAGTTCCTGTCTGGGATGAGACAGAGGACCACATCATACTGCTCATAATCTCTTCTTTGCTTGTTTCCGAGCATTGAGAACCATTATTTCTGATTTTGCAGACAAACGGGGAACTTTCTTGTCTCTTGTTGATCTTTGGTTGCCTCTTATTGGACACAATAGAAGAAGAATATGAGACCGTGTAATTGGTCGAAAGTTTGAAAACGACGTCCTCAAAACAGCTTGTTAAACCCAGAAGACATAAATGGCATTTAGCGATAGCAATCTTTTTTTATCACAACAATCTGATAAATAATCCTGTTTTCACTGGTATATCACTGCAGATTTACCATCAAACATCTTTGATCCAACGCCTTTTCTTGTGGCTGGATTGTAAACCTTGTGGCAGGTGTAGAAAAGCCTGGAAACCTTCAATGGATCACCAAAAGGATAAGCTTTTGAGCACTTTTTATCCCATTGAGATACACGGTATAGTTCCTGAGAAACTGTAAACAATAGTAATGGTGTCACGTGGGATCACCAGCGGAGTTGTAAGCGTTAACAAGGAAATGGAGAAGAATGATCCAGACTCTGGCCATGAAAGAAAGCATCTTTTCTGTGGCTTTTTTGACTTCATCTACTTAATGTGGGACGGGGAGAGTGTCCATTAGTCCAAGAGACACCCCTGGATAGACATGGTTCAACAGACAGTTTATGGTGCTCTTCATCTTTAATGTTTTAAGGCTCATTTATGCCCTACGTTAGATACGCACACAGATTTGGATAAAGTTTTCCGTCCACACTCAGGGTTCATTTCATCCTTATTTCTGCATGCCCTCTGCAAGCTCATCGATACATCCAAATATTGCACCATCGCAGAAAACTGAGAGAAGTAAGGTCAAGAGTACAAATCACAGACTGTGGAAAGCAGGAATCATAACACCATACTTTGAAAAAACTTTAAATCCTGCGTCTATATGTCGGGGCGTATTCACTGACCGTCATCAGATAAACGTGTTGAGAGCCTGGTTTGAAAAGTTTGATTAGTCCATAAATACAAACTGACAGATTTTATTCCTCTTGATACAGCACCAGTTTTGTTGAGACCTGAGGGCTGTCCCAGAACTTTTTCGATTAGATGTCACTGTTTTTTTTTTCACAATAGTTACCAGTCGCTCTTGGGGAGAATAAATGTTGAATAATATGACAGTGCCATGGTAAGAAATTTAATCTGTTTTGGTTTTGGTACAATAATAGCTTGTTTAGTTGTTTTTTTTTCTCTGGTTCCATTAAACTGACTGTGGTTTTGTCACTTGAACACAAACATGTTGTTTTGGGGGAATTTCAATAACTGATGCTGTCAAAAATCAATTGTGTAAAAGCTGAAAAGAAGGCTGTTTATCTTAAGTCATGGAAAGTTGAGGTTTTAGGGGTGCATGCTTTCACAGAACAGTCAAAAATACTGCACCGATGCAGCAGAATAGTTGTGTGCTTTTCTTTCAAAGACCTCCCGAGCATTTTGGGATCAATAGTAGTCTCTGAAAATTGTGTTTTCAATATTGCTCAACCCTTTTTTCTGTAGATCCTGTATTGCTTCTTTAAATCTAAGCGTAGCTGCTGCAGAAGTCTATTTATGAGCTGCAGTTCCTGGTAATTAAGTCAGAGTTTCTGCCCGCTCTCCTGTTTTATCCGTTTGTTATTTATTCCAAATTGCTGCAAGTTTGCATCGGGCCGTGTTTTCCAGGGAAAGCCTTAACACTCAGCAGCTGCTCCAGCTTTTAATCTAGAAGACCTCTCGATATAGGCTGGGTCACTGCGGCGTAAATTACCCAACATTAAACAACAGGTCAATACTTAGTTGTTTGAATAAAACCGTCACGGATTATTGTTTTAAGTCCACGATTGACTTTTACTATTTACTGTTTAATGCGCTGAATAAAAGGGATAAGGATGCTGTTTGTTCAGGAGAAAAAAAAAAAGGAGCAGCATCCTTTTCTAACTGAGATATTGTTGTGATAAGAAAGACAGATTGAAAAAGTGAAATGTTCCACTCAGACAGGACTAATTTTTCTCGGTTGTGTTGTGATTTGTAATCATTGTGGCGTTCGATTTCCACGGGGAGTGTGCTGCATTTTCTGGTTCGATCTTCCAGTGGCGGCAACAATGGAGGACGGCTTTGAAAAATTTCTTTTTTCTGGAAACTTCATTTTGCAGCTTGATATACTCATGTTACTCCAATATCAGAATTATATTAATTAAGAGTGTCCCGATAAGATATTGATATCGGTCTGATGATATCAGCAAAAGTTCGAATATCGGATTATATCAGCCTGTATCTAAAATCTCTGATATCGGCTAGGCCTGAAACGATTCCTCGAATATTTCGAGTACCTCCATTACAAAATAACGATCGAAGAATTTTCTCTGCCTCGAGTTCTCGTTTATAAGCTCAAATCGTCGCTGTTTTGCACGGATTCTTTTGAAGGTGACACAATGCGCTTACATCACCACGATAGGAGGAGGAGTAAACGCTGTGTAGGTTTTGCAGGGTGGAAAAAATTAATGATGAGAGGGGCTTTTCTTGCAATGTTGCCAACTTAGTGACTTTAGCGACTTTTCGCGCTTGTTCCGCAATTGTCCTCCATTTCTCCAAGTCTGGCCTTCATTGCTGGGCTATAGGAAATCTAACTTTATGTGAGTCTGCCGTTTGGGTCCAATTACTCGAGTAATCGATGGAATATTTGGTATATTACTAAAATATTCGATAGCTGCAGCTCTAGTATCAGCACTCCGATACAAGCAGTCCATCCGAGACTCCTCTCCAGCACCTCTATCTCGCAGCACCCGGATCCAGCATATGGAGCCCATGTAATCACAACAACAGTGTGTACTAAGGTACGAACAAAGCAGCGAGGAGTAGGAGTGATGTTGGCCGTGTGGCATTTTTTTTCGTTATCGTTAAAAAACGTTGAAACTGAGTGCAAAACTTGTCATGCACAAGTTTGGGCTAATATCCGATCAATATCAGTGTCGGCCGATATTGAAGGCTACAATATAGATATCGTATCAGAGGCATAAAAAGTTGTATCGGGACACACCTAATATTAATGACTCTGCTGTGCAAAAATGTGATGCATCTATACAAGACCCAAGAGGCAGAGTCAAATCTGCAGCACCTGGCCACTCAAGTCTCTTTCAGCTCCTTGTTTTGGTTTCACATTAATGATTTACATCAACTCGCGTTGACCCCAGCGCAAGAAACAGTAATCTCAGCTCTCATCCGCACAAGAAAATCTGATTGTAGGCTCCCTGCCCGGCGTGAAACGATGGCGAGCCAAGGAAATTGAGTGGCTGGTGAACACAGCAGAAAAATTCCGGAAGCCAGAGAGAGCCAGATGTTTTCCTCGGGAGTTGGCGGACGCACCTCCAGGCTGGAGCGCCAGTGAATGTTGGACTTGATTCAACAGGTGGTGTGAAAGAGTGCTCCCGTTGAAATGTGCCAACGTTCTGCTGCTTCCTCTGGACGTTTAAGTAATGTTCGGTGATTGTTTGCTAACACTTGATAGCTCGGTGATGATCTGGTCATTTATTAAGGCCTGTTGCTATGCAGTGCTTTGGGAGGGTTTATCAGGCCCACTAGATAAAAAAGGTTTCATGCAGATTTAGTTTCATGTCCCGGCGAGATTTGTGGGTAATAAACCGTGAGGGAATCTTCCTCTAGCATGTTTTTGTTCTCTCGTAGAAAGAACAACTCTCTTGCGTCTGAACCTTTATTGCTGATGACCATATTGCGGTGTTGGACTAAACTGTATGCACATGAGTGTCGCTGTGCACTTAAATGCCACACAGCGCTGAGAGGAGGCACTGATGTGTGACAGATGCCTGACGGCTGGAGATGCACTAGCAGCCCGTATCAATGGAAGTGTCTTCCTTGCTTCTCCTAAATGCGTTCAGACAGAGACAAAGACGAAGGCTGCCGACTGAATCCCCAAAATGGACAGCTCTGGGACGCTGAGTGAAAGTCAAACAGTGTAGTGCAAAGTAGTCCTGTCTGCCGGGTCCATTAATGGAGAGTCGAGCAGGTGAGTGCTGCAGTGGTGCAGAGGCTGGCATATGCCAAGCTAGAGGGCTGAGACGGGCTCAGCAGACCCCCTGCCTTTAGTGTCATCTGTCACCATTCGGAGAGTACGTGTGGGACTGTAGGCATGTGTGTGTGTGTCTGTCTGTGTGTGTTTTGGTGCTCAGCGGGATAAGGAGAAAAAGAAAGAGGAGGGAGAAGAAAGAGGGCAGGGTAGAGGGCAGAAAATTTGGCAGAGACTGAAAAGGGAGACACAGAGCTCACAGTATTCAGACAGGCTGGCTGAACTAAGTGATAATCCAGAGCTGCGAACAGGTTCAATTCCCAAACAGGTAAGTAGAATGGAAAAATACTGTGTGATTCAAGTGAAACAACATGAAAACCTACTCATTCATATTCAACAACATCCTGGTCTTCAGTCATTATTGTTTGTTTTTGTGCTGCATCATACAGCAGAGAGACAGAGAGAGATTTGGAAAGATGATGCACCGTTACATCATTTCAAAGTTTAAAATTTCTTTATATATGCTGCCCGCTGTGCCCCTGACCCCGCTGTGCAATGTCGAAGTAAATCCTCTGAGGTATTAGACAAATAGAAATCTAATCCAAATAAACACATTGTCTAACCTCCTCTCCTTCACACAATCTCCCAGAAATATTCAGCAAAAAAAGCCCCAGACAGCTGAGACAGCTTGAACAGTGAAGCCTCAATAATCTTTATCTTGATAATTACAATGGAATTAATCACAGTGAGTAATATACTGCAATGTGTCTTTCAGCTCACCACCTTGGTTTAGTTTGAAGACTTTACGTTTTAAAAGAAAATAGACAAAATCAGTAGTAAACACAGTGGAACTTTCAGCAGCCAGAGCAAGACATGTCCCTGAGGAGTTGGTGGCAGCAGGGTCGTGTCCCAAAGGATTGATAAGGGGGGGCATTGGCCCCTTTTTGTGATTGGCCACCACAAGATCCCAAAATGTTTTGCCTTGTCAGAGTTCATGGTCATGCTCCAAACAACCGTTTAGGCTGTGATGCCACAGGCTGCCAAGAGCTGTCTCTGCATTTCAGCATACCAGCATTTTTTCCTTTTTGTCAGACCTTATTTGTAAGACCTAATACACCCCACTGTACTGACCTTCAAGTAATATATGTACTTTTATGTCGGCTAAATTATTAAATGTTATAACAAACTGAGTCTGTCCAAGGATAAGACATTTCTACACTATGATTGGTATGAAAACATCAGGCTAAGAGGCGGCCTTCAGGTGGCCCCAACCCTACCAATGTTAACGAATCCAACAAGTGAGAAACTGACTGAACAGCTCATACATGCACTGAAGTAGCACTTCTTGTGAGTAAAAGGTCTTCCTTTATTCCCATCATCAAGAGACACTGGTTTAAATGAAGAGTGAACAGACAGGCTGAAAGAAGGGTTTTGAAAAAAAAAATCAGCCTGAACTACTGAATGATTAGAATTTATTAAACATCATGTAATCATCATGTAAAGCTGCAGAGAAATTGTCAGAGGGACAATATAAAGCTAAATAGATAAAGAGGCATAACACCCTCTCTTTAAGAAAGTGGATTTCTGGTACTTTCTGCACTCTGTAAACTCAGTTCTATTTATAATTAATACTTTATCTCTCTTAATATATACTCATCCCTCTGAGTGTGGCACGAAAATTCTAATGCACCTGTACTGGTCTGTACCTGAGCGAAAAGCAAAATAAGTCTATTCTATTCTATTCTATTCTATTCTATTCTGTTTCCCATCCTATTCTATAACCTATCCTATTCTTTTTAATTCTGTATTCTATTCTTTTCTATTCTATTCTATTCTATTTCACTCTCTATCCGATTCTGTTCTATTATATTTTTACTCAGTATTCTATTCTATTCTATTTTGGTCTATTCTATTTATATTCTATTCACTTTTCACTGAGTATTCTGCTGTACTCTATAACCTCCCCTATCCCCTATCTATTCTTTTTAATTCTGTATTCTATTGTACTTTACTCTCTATCCGATTCTGTTCTATCGTATTTTCACTCAGTATTCTATTCTATTCTTTTTAATTCTGTTTTCTTTTCTATTCTATTCTATTTCACTCTGTCCTATTCTATTCTATTGTATTTCCACTCAGTATTCTGTTCTATTCTATTCTTAATTCTTAATTCTGTATTCTATTCTTTTCTATTCTATTTCACTCTCTATTCTATTCCCTTCTATTGTATTTCCACTCAGTATTCTATTCTATTCTATTCTGTTTTATTCTATTCTTTTCTTTTCTATATCCTATTCTTTTTTATTCTGTATTCTATTCTATTCTATTTTCACTCAGTACTCTATTCTGTTCTATTCTATTTATTTAAGTTAAAAAATTTGAAAGTTAAAAAAAAAAAAGTGTGTTCATTTTGGATGTGCCACTCCACTTTATCCTACATAAATGCACCAAATGCTTCATCCTTTTATACACTGGGGTGATTTATTGAATTGAGTTAAAATACCAAGGTTTTTTTTATTGATGCACCCCGTGTCGGTCAAGAACTTTCAGACCTCTCGGATGTGTGAATGGGAAGATGCATTTAGTAGTTGTGATATGTGAAATATGAAACTTCCCTTAAGTGTCTCTATCAAAGTCTTATGGTGCACTTGGAAGCATGAAAACCCACAGGGGTCATGGTTGAATCGGCTTTTACCTCAGAAATAAAAGAAGAAGAAATGTAGGAAGAATGTCGGATATTTTTCTCACTCTCTGGGTAGCGACATCTTTGTCTACTTAAAGTTGTTTTTAATAGTCTTGAAAAAGTCATTGTCACAAAATCTGCATTATTCTGTCGTCAGCAAAAGCCTCCCTTTCAGGATGTGAAATAAAGCTGGCAGATAAAAAAAGAAACAGTGCATTCAGCAGAGCAGAGCATCAAGAAATCACACACTCGAGCACCGAGGTATAAAGCTTTATCATTCAAGTAATGCAACAATTTCCCTTTCTGTTTGTCCTTTTCTTTCAATTCCTTTTTGATGACAACAAAACAAGGCCCTTACACGACACATAGTCGTTTCCAGCCCGAAACACCTTATAACCCCCTCCAGTTTCTATTTATTATTAAGCAACAGAAGGGAGTAGTAGTTGGGGGACTTTCAACCTGTGATGCTCCTTTTTCTTCTTCTGTTATCAATTTGAAAAGCATACGGCTCCACAATATGGTATTCAAACCACTCCAAGCTCAGTAGTCGCCCAAAATACGTAGAGACATTAATTGTGCCATCTGTGTCGTGGGTGTATCCATGTGTGTGCTTTCATAGGCAGATCAAAAGCTTCTGAGGACATTTGTTTTCCAATGTAACACAAATTTATGGAGAGGAATTACAATACAGCTCCTAGTTAGTCCCAGAAAATGTAAAAAAAAGCAATGGGATTTTAATTGTTGAGTTAGAGGCCTGAATGGGTACATGAAATAACTCACAAATAGGGGGGTTCCCAAGCCTCCAGTCAAATCAGCCCGTGCCTAAGTATGCATAACTCTTAGCCTTCATATAATCAAAATAGATGAGTTTGAACAATAGTGCCACCTGTGCAGCTGATAGAAATCAAGAAATGAGCTAAAGAGATGGAAATTATGCTTGAGAAACATATTAAACTTCGCAGCAAAAATGGGCTTGATGGGGGAGGTGGTTCAGCTGCTACTTTCATATTTCTGTTTCCAGCCACAGTCTGATGAAAAACCACTGTCCAGTCACCGGAAAAGCCACCGTCCACCTTCTCATGAGCTTACTGTTTCATATCCAAAATTACGCTTATGCTGCATTCCTGTTGTACTCAAAAGTCGGGATTTCTGAGCTTCAAGTCGGAAATTCATCTTGAACGCCCCCCTGAAGTCGGATTTCTGACAACGTCATTATTCAAGATGGCAGCGCAGTACATCAACAGTAAAGAGTAACAGTGAAAGCTCTCGTAATGTGTTATTTATTTATTATATGTTGTTCTGCCTAACGTCTAACTGTGAACACGGTGGTACGGTGTTTGCAAGAGTAAAATACTATGCTAGGTGTTGTTTACAACTACTATAGCTAACAGCAACTAACAATAGCTAACAACCGCTAACAAAAACTGATAAAGGCTAACGACAGTTGACAATTGTAAACAACTGCTAACAAGGGATAACAGTGGGTGTCCATCTTGGTTTTTCGACTTGTTTACTGGAATGTCGTCAACTTGGGTGTAACGTCATTCCCAGCTCTGACATCCGACTTCCGAGGTGACTGGATCGCAGCATTAAACTAGAGTCTGATCCGTCTCCGCCATGTCTCGGTTTGGTTTAGCCGACACCTGGTGGCTGTGTTTTTATAGCCCAGCACTTCCAGACAGCTGCAGACCAAGTATCTGAAAACCTCTGACTCGTTGACTCCATGCCTTGCTCTGCACACTATGGCAAACACGACCTGTGTTTTATTCTGAAAATCAAGCAAGGGCTCTAGTTGTTTTAAGTTGTTTCAGTGTCAGCTTTTCTGTCTCTGTCAATTTGCCCTGCGCTGATTGATGTGTCACACTCTGATGTATATCAAAAATAGAAGCTGGGTGCATCAGCTGCAGAGGGCCCTGGATTGCTGAAGCTAGGGATGTGCAGAAATGCAATGCAGCAAACACACTGACTGAAGTGAAAACCAATATTTTTGGTTGCCATGGCAGAGTGGAGACAGATCTGGTGGAATTCAGAAGTAACATCACTTTCCTCTCCCCATTGTCTATTACCGTCTTTTGTTTTTATATTACATATGAGTGATTGAGACATTTCATGGCTTATCTTAGTCTATATTAATCACATCATCTTTTCTGAGAATCTCTAAATACTGTTTTACAGTAAATGTAGATACTTGCCTTTTCTTCCTATTTTCAAGGCCACTGTTAATTAGCATTACTTCAAACAACACTTCTCTTGCTTTTGATAACTGGATGTTGATTCTAACTTTCTCTTTTAAGCTCTTATTTGTGATTTTCTCTGCCCTTCTTCTTCCTTGTATTCTTGATTGTGCCGGTGTACAGGATGCAGGCTGTTCTTGTGTGAAGACTTTCATTAGGTTCAGCAATGTGCAGTTTAATGCAGATGTGTAGCTCTCATTTTCATCTGATAATGCCACCCTGCCTGCCACCAGTACAGTAGATGAGCTCAGTTTATGACAGTTATGGGGCTATGTGCAGAACCTCCTCCTGCATTGTCTTCAACTTAAGAGTCTTTGCAGTCAAAGCAGTACTTCACAAACTTAATTTACTCAGTAGGCTACCACTGTTGACTTTAAATGGATGGTTTTAGTTAAAGTGTTAAAAATGTCCTGCTGGGGGACCAGTCCACCTTGCTTGATACTTTACACATGGATGCAGTGGCTTGCTTCTTTTAGCGCCATCTTCAGGGTAAACTACTAAAACACAGTTTTTCCATCTGTTATCCTGGTATATTTTTTGCACCAGAGCGCAAAATTCATAGAAATTAAGAGGTATTGAACCTGCATCTATTACTCTGAATTAGGGCTGGGAGATAAACCGAAAATTTCCCGATACTGAAATTTAAGACAATAACCGACGTCATTTTGCCCATATTGGTATATTCGGTGTCAAGAAAATAAATAAACAAAAGTTGGTTTTGGATGTGTGTAGGTAGGCTATGGTCTCATGTCCCTTTTAAGATGTTGTCCTACATCAGAGACGTGACTCCACCCAGTCCGTAACAGAGAGGGAAAGACAGGTGAGGAGATGGAGGACGGTTCAAAAGTTGTAGCGGCTGAAGTGGACAAAGTTAATGTGGGAGGGGGTGAGCAGCTTGTGGAGTAGTTATCGTCCATTTATCGTTATTGAGGAGAACTGCTCAATATATTGTGATATTGATTTGAGGCCATATTGCCCAGCCCTACTCTGAATACAACATTGCTTGTACGATCATACACCACATTACGCACATGAATCAGTAAGCTAAAGTAGATCCAAACATAACCTGAAAAGTACATATAATCAATCCTGGATGTGCTTTAACTTTTTGATTTATCGAATACTATTTCCTGACTTCTAAAGGAAAAAGTGACGCTCCCTTGGGAGTCCAATAAGTCATTTTTAACCAGAGTGTGTAACTGTCCAGGGACTTTGTCCCATCAAAGATGCTATTAAATCTGTCTCCTGCTCAGTTTTGTACAGACCTCTCTTCACCTCCATCACCACGCTCTGAGACATTATATTCAGACTACAGAGGCCTCCGCTTCACGTGTCTGTCTGCCCATTTTTCTCTTTTTCATTTGACTTCTTAACTCCTCTCCAGCCCGGAGGCACAGTATGTCATCGTGCAGAGCAGGTCTCGCTGACAGGGTGTGACGCTCAGGTGAGAATGCACAATGACCTTTCCGGGTCACCTCTATTCATTATCAAGCTGAGATCACATCGAAATACTCCACAGCTGTTAATATGTGTCACCTACGTTTCCGTTGTTGAGCTCAAGTCAAATCTCCAGAGCTGAAGATAAAACATCCTGCCAATCGCCAGATGAGCCGATCGCTTATTCTGAAATTACTCGCTCTGTTTTCCGCCTTCCCCAGAGCTCTCCTGTTGTACTTTGAAATTATCTCTGCACATTTTTTGATATGCTGCCTTCACAGATAATCTAACAATAAGAAAAAATGTTAAATTGTGTTTGCTTTAGACTCTTGCTCTCTGGTCACTAATCATAAGTTCTCTCTCTTTGTGCCTGAAAGTCAAAAAATAATGATTGCAGGGACAGAAGCTGCAGACTGAGCTATTAAATAAAGCAGTCTTCTATGTGTTTTTGACTCGGAACGAAATACTCCAAAAGAAAGTTTTATCATTTTTGTATTACTCTGTATTACATTTTCTGTCGGTTGTAAAACTGGACCATCAAAATAATGACTCAATTCCCTCCATTTCCAGCCAGCAGCAACACAAACAGACCTGCAGAAGCAAAGCTACTGCTGCAGATTTTTGTGCTACAATCTTTAATTTAACTAGACTGTATAGACTCTATAGACATTGCTGTGATCGACACATTGTGTGCTTTCAGGCGGCGTGAAGCGCTGCTGTGTTGTGTTGATTTTGGTGACCCCTTAACACAACAGCGGCGGTGTTTTTCTGGGATGAAGACAGAATTTCCCTTGAGAACCATCATCCGCTGTCATAGAGATGCCTGATTGTTAAAGCAGCAAATAGAGATCCTTTTCAAACTGCTTTTGCTTGTTTAAGACAACTTACTATAGGATGCAGAGTGATGATGTAATGCATTTAGGTAAAATAACAAACGTGAGCTCTGAATTATGACCATTAGGTTGGTAATCGCAGCAAACTAGCATGAATTTGAATGCAGCGTCTCCTCAGGACTTTGTCTGCTGCTGTCTGCTCAAAACTTTGGGACTTTAGATTGGGAAGTCTTTGCACAGCAGGAACAAGGAAGGTGATGTTAGCATCGGGATGACCACCTAACTAGCAACATGGCCAAATACTTAATCAAGATTAAAAATCGCCCTGAAACAAACCCTCAACCTACCTCTTCAACAGAAAATGAGCGACCATGGCATCACTTTTAAAGCCCTTGACCTCTTTCAGTTCTCTCCATCGCTGAAAAGCTGTCCCGATTAGGGTTGGGTATCGTTTGATTTTGAACAATTCCGATTCCAATTCCTCTTTTCGATACCGGTTCCGAACGATTCTCTTTTCCAATTCTCATTGCAATGCATGGTTTAAATGAGGTTGCTAACTGGAGTTCTTTTTGGATTAAATTTCTGAACTTCTCCATGAATTTTTAAATCATATTAACTTTTAAAGAACTTTACTATGAATTTCTCACTGCTATTTTCAACCGGTATATGAATATAAATTTTTGTTGTCAGGTCGTTTGTCTATGAAAAAGTTGACCCACCGTACACAGTACAATTTGTTTGCCGCTTCAGTGTTAGCAGAAGACAGAAGTAATTTATTGTTTCACTTATCTGATTCTGGCTGGTTAGCGGAGGACCGGCGAAGCACGGCAAAGATGGGCACTCAGGTATTTCTCCTCCATGAATCCTGAGGTGTTTAATCATGTTGGTCGTTCATCCTCCTTTGCATGATATAACTGTGTTGCTAACGTTGCACTGAACATTGAGATAAGAGTTCATTCTTCCTGCTAAAGTTAGACAAACTTTTGACCGCCGCCGCTGTGAGTCGCAATGCTCTCTCTCTCTCTCTCTCTCTCTCTGTCTCTCTTCTCTCTCTGTGTGGCTTCGTCTCATACACTTTGTCCTCATTGGTGTTTGGCGGCTTCCTCTTCGTTAGTGTTTAGTGGCGTATTCCTCGTTGGTGTTCAGCGGCTATTTCTTCCGCTCAGGCGGACTCCGGCATCGAAACTTGGAATCAAAATTTTAAAATTTTAACGATTCTGGGAGAATCAGAATGTTAGTCCTGATTCCCATCGATGCTCAAGACTCGATGCCCAACCCTAGTCCCACTTTAGTTTTCGCCCTTGCTTTCTCCAAACTCTATTTTGCTTCAGACTTCTCCGCCTCTGTCTTTCTTTTCTTGCGCTTTTCAGCAGGAGGAGTAGTCACCATTAAACTGGGTATATGTAGTTTCTCTGCCATTCTCCAGCATAGCTCTATCCCTCACAGCTCGGCAATGATTATTGATCAGGGCCAGTGCACGCCGGCGACATGTATGCACAGAAGGCGAGCAAAGGATGGTTTAAAAATGGGGGACCCACACGATGTGATTGGTTGGTGTTTTCCCAGTTTTACTCCTGCTGTAGATAACAGATATGTTTCGCTCTTTTTTAAGGACACATCATGTACTGATTGCCATCGAGACATAAAGATAATTTCAACCAGAATAACAAAAAGTGTATCTAAATCAGATTACCAACCCTACCTTTAAGAGTATAAGCGTTCATGCTGGCAAACTCGACCTCAGCTGCTCCCTGAGAGCTTCTACACTCAAGGGGAATCTAATCAAGCTTGCTGAATACATACAGGACAGCATCGTGATTCAAATATTGATGACACAAATTCACATCTTAAGGAGAGACATCTTAAAGCTTGACAGGGTAATTCATCTGAGATGCATTTTCGTTGAAATCAGTTCACGAAGAAACAAAGGCAAGCTGTCATTTTACTGAGTATGACGGCTCACCTGTTCAGACACTCCGCTTCTGCACTCGGCAAACACTACAGACTGAGAACTGGGAGTGCTTGAGACAGAAACGGCACAAAAAGGTAGTATGAGCTTGGACTCCACAGGGAGAATCCTCCAGATGGACAGATGTCAAATGCTGCTTTCTGCTGCAGTATTTAAATCCTCCCACGAAATCTACACACTCGTGGTGGTGGCTGATGACTTTGCTGAGGCCAGATGGATGATGAGTGGTTGGCTGATGTCTCTGCGGTGTCTGGGCATTAATGGGGAGGTGGAGAGGTGTCTAAGACTGCAGCATGAAGGAGCTAGTGTCGTCCTTGTGTGCTCCTCTGACGGTCCAAGTTGAGAAGTTGTTCTTTTTGACGTTCACATTCAGAAATTCAGGTTTAACACTGCCTGACTTGTTTCATCAAGATTGAATGCTGATAAATAAGGCAGGTCTGAGCGATGGTAGCAGGGAGACGGTTGGAGCACAGCCTCTAATTCATGTTGCATGTGAGTAAACAACCTTGGATCTGCTTTCTGTGACAAGTATTAGGACTAAAAATCAACCCATGATGTTAAATTTTCACGATGTTGACGGCGAAATTAAGATTTGGGCAAAAGAAGGAAAAATATTGACATCAGGGGTGTTTTGTACGGTGGCCCTGAGGTGCAAAACACAACGGCAAATCAGAAAACACAACGACATTAAATATCGTGTTTTTTGATTTGCCGTTGTGTTTTCTCTTTTTGTGTTGTGTTGTGTTTTGTCTTTTTGTGTTGTGTTTTCTCTTTGTGTTTGTGTTGTGTTTTCTCTTTTTCTCTTTTGTCTTTTTGTGTTGTGTTTTCTCTTTTTGTGTTGTGTTTTTCTTTATGTGTTGTGTTTTCTCTTGTGTGTTTGTGTTGTGTTTTTTTTTGTGTTTTCTCATTTTGTGTACTATGTGTTGTGTTTTCTCTTTTTCTCTTTTGTCTTTTTGTGTTGCGTTTTCTCTTTGTGTGTTTGTGTTGTGTTTTCTCTTTTTGTGTTGTGTTGTGTTTTTTCTTTTTGTCGTGTTTTCTCTATTTGTGTCGTGTTTTCTCTCTGTGTTGTTTTTTTTTCATTTGCCGTTGTTTTTTCTTTTTTGTTTTGTGTGTTGTGTTTTCTATTTTTGTGTTTTGTTTGTGTTGTGTGTCTGATTTGGCGTTGTTGCAGTTGTGATGTGATTGTCTCTGCCATGTTGGACTGATGTAGTCTGCAAACCCTCTGATTTTAAATTTACATGTGGGACTCTGCTGCTGTTTGCGTTGACGCAGAGGCTGCTTGTGAACAGATACCAAAACCAGCACTGTCGTTTAACAAACCAATGTCAATAAGTCACTTTGTGGGGAAACAATACACCATATTAAGAATTACATTTAAGTAAAAAGTTGATGTGTAGCAACTGGATGAATTGAAACCATTAATGAAACATGTTTACTGGCCGTAACCATGACAAATATGACCTCAAGTCGGCTCAAATTGTCGCTCTAGTTTTATGACCCAAGCAGGTGTCTGACACTACATGTAGAGGACACTTCTCAAAAAGAGAGAGCAGGAAGATGATTGGCTGCTGATGAGGGTGAGACACTGTGCCATTGGAGAGCCAGCTGATTGAGCAGCTGATTTTCCCAACGGCAATCCCAGACAATGACAGCAGGAAATGTGAGTGAGCGTGCACGGAGGAGGAGAATGAGAAAAAGGTGGAAAACCATGAATTTAAAGTGCAGCCTTTCCCAACTGAAGTTATGCCAGAGATTCGTTTTGACACAGTAACCGGTGACAACAAAATACTTGGCTCCTCTCTGCAAGGTGGACTCGTCCTGCATGAGAAGTGAGGCAGTGTTTGTGTGTGGAGGGAGTGTTTTTTTTTTAATCGAATGCACTTTTAAAATTGAGCTCAGTCTCGCTGGTTTGTCCAAAGTTGCCTATCCAGTTTTTTAAACGTTACATAACCAGCATTAGGTTGGCTTCATGGAGAGGGCAGAGACATATCCCATCACTGTCTGTGAGGCGGTACAGCCAGAGCAGAGGAGCTCCACAGAATTCAAACTGCATGTCACAAAACTGGTTTAACATATAATTGACAGCCGTGTAAAATATTTAAAAAAATGAACAGTGGATGACTCACCAGCTATCTCGAAGCATATGTGGCCTTACACACTCTCCATGAAAAGAGGACAGAATTACCCAAGAGCTGGGCATAGCAGAGAAATGCATCCCACTTGGATGAAGGACCAGCAGTGCATCTTGAAGCTAAGCTTTTGGAAGCAGCCACCCAGAAGTGGCGCCTGAAGCTAGAATTATACCGCTCCACTCTCACAGTCAATCGTAACTGTGTGGAA